CACCTCGTCATTTCCGCCGCCGATCTGAACAGCCACTCGGTAGTCCTCAAGCCAAGTATCAGGCTTGGACTCACCGTTGAACTTGCTGACTCCAGTCGCCAACCTGAAGTTGGGAGGAATCACCGCGGCTCTGATGGCTCTGCTGAAACACTCTGGTCCGGAGACGTGCACTCGGCTGTTGGTGGGTACATCTCTGTCATTACCCTCTCTGTGGGCTCTGTTTCGGTCGACCAGACCTTGAACGATGATGGATCTCGCATCAAAGCCTGGTTCCTGGGGTCGACCGGAATTCTTCGCCCGCCACTGTGCTGGCGTCTGTCATCCTGTTGTCGAGGCATATATGATCCACCCCTAGGGGGAGGAGTGGGCACTCGACGTCGATCATTGCGATCGAATCGGTGATCATACTACTCATAGTTCCTGTACTGATCGTGCCGGTCGCCATGCCCTTCATGCCTCGGGGGTGATCTGGGGCTATGAGCCGACTGGACCGTATTCGCCGCCACGGATCTGCTATGAATCCTGTTCCGCGACTGCGACACAGTCAAATTCTGATCTCCTGCTGCCCGGAGCAAATCCCTGATCTGCAACAAGCCTCCGCCAGCCTCTGACTCAGAAGGCTGAATCGACTCCGCTATACGGGTTGCTGCTGCCAAATTCTGGATCGGAATGCGGTATACCTGAGTCGGAGGTTTAAAGAGTTGGTGTCGACTGGAGTTTGGAATCCGTTGCCGCACGCGCTCGTCGAGTGCCCGCTGAAGGTTCTCCAGTCGAGTGTGCTCAGCCAGGTTGGTCAAGCGCGCGTCCTCTAAGGCGCGAGCCTCAGGGGTTTCTCCAACGATCGGAGTATGAAGCGCATCCATGTTCCGGCGGCGAAGCTCTTCCCTCTGCTGCGAGTCGAGGGGCTCGGGCCGGTACTCCTCATGGTCGTGCGACGGATCGCCTCCGCCGTTGCCTCCTTCGGTGCCAGGAAAGCCGGGGGGAACGTGCGGCCCATTGACCATCAGGACCTCCGCCGCCGGATCACTGCTGTCGCATTCGGATGCAGTCTCTGCGGAGCCAGTCGACAGGTCGAACAGGCCGTAAAGAGATTCGTCGGGCTCGATTGCCGCGACTTGGGCAATGGTCGATTGGCGAGCCACTGCGTGCCTCACCCACCGCTGAAGCCTCAACCGACCAGAGCGCTTGCGCCGGCGGGAAGCTGGGAGGGAGGATGACACGAAAATCGGCCGATACTGAGTCGACGGTTGCCGCAGAAGGACGCCGCGGACGCATGCTCGAAAGTGCGTAGCTCCGCGGACTGGGAGCGCATCCACGTCGAGCGGAGCCTCCTGCAGCCAGGCAGAGTCGTCGGCGACGAATGTGAGCGCGCCGAGATGGATCTCGCGACCCTCAACCAAAACTCCACCTGAAACCATGATGATGGGAATTGAAAAGATTGCAACTTCTCCAACAAGTCGCTAAGACACCCGCCCCACGGTGGGCGCCAACTGTCGTGGTTCTAAGTCTGACAGTAGAATAGGAGGTAGGTATGGAGAGGCAAGATCCTAGCTATGGAGAAGTTGTGCACACAAGTGTTTTACGAGTTCAGGCCCTTCTCGGAGGAAGTAACAACCCTATGTCTCGAAGCCCGGAGGCGGTCGATAGGATTATATGTGTGAGAGTTACAGGGGTGCGAACCCTTCTACCAGTGAAGGGGGTGGCTTATATAGAGGACGCCAAGACCCCAGCCAGCCCACGTAGCAGAGGGTTAAAGTACATTAAGGTCTCGCGTTACTGGTAACGCCTTACATAAAGTGTCATCATGACTATTAAGACTACTTGATTACAGACCGTTTGGGTACAGAGTAGATCTTGAACTCCTGGTGGTCGAGTGAGTCTTCATGGTCGAGTGTCTTCAGGTTCGTCGAGTGTCTTCTAGTCCATCGAGTGGAGTTCCTCTTGGTCGACTGAAAGACGGCTTCTCCTAAAGGATGTCTTTAGGGAGGGTACCTTGGTCAGGTTCAATAACCCTACCCTAGATACGTGACTTCATCATCGAGTACCTGCAGCATGGGGTCGAGTTCGTCGACCTCGCCGTGGCCGCGGCAAGAACTTGGAAGATCTCGCCGCCGCAGGAAGCCCTCCATCCCCGGAACGCCACGGACCGGCTCGTCGAGGTCGGCGCCTACAGGGACGGGAACCTCGCCGAGCTCCACGAGCCCGGGCACGGAGAGGTAGGCCAATATGCTGCACGCGCTCTCCGTGCGGAAAGCGAGCGCCGGCACGCCGAGCTCCTCAGCGATATCGATGGCGAACGGCAGCAAGCCATCGACCACGACGCACGACACCGGCGGGAACCCGCCATCAGCGTGGCTTCCAGCGGAGAGCGCCGGGGCGAGCAGGGCGCGGTACGCGGCGCTGGCGCTCGGCCTCAGGGACCTGCCGATCTCGCTGAGGTGGGCGACCGAGCGCGGGTGGTCGTCGGGGAGGCCGTCCGGCACGGACGCGAAGCGGAGGCGTGGCGAAGCGGCGCGGTCGACCCGGCGGAGGTTGTGCTCCGTGTGCAGGAAGGTGACGTGCACGCCGGCGCCGAGGAGGCCCGCGGCGAAGGGGAGCATGGAGTTGATGTGGCCCTGCAGCGGCCAGGGGAACACCAGCACGTGCACCGGCGCCATGTCCGCTGGCCTGTCCTCCATCGCCTGGTACTGGTTCTTCTTACCGCTGCGCGTCAAGTGCGTTCTGCCAAATACAACTCAGCGAGCGCCGGCGGTTTTAACTTTTAAAATGCAGCGTGGTTTGAATTGCATCGATTGACAAAGTATTTAACCGGTCAGCTGTTGCTGCGCCTGCGCTTTTGTATTTCTTTTTTTGCAAGTGGGAGCATCGCGTTCCAGTTTCTGCTCTGCTTTACTTGCTGAAGGGCGAGCACGACCGGCTCATCCTTTTTCTTTTCCTTCGAATCCGCTGAAAGAGGCCGGAGCCCGGCTAAGAATTATTTACGGAATATACTGATCAATTGACGGAATTAACAAAATTGAAATTGGCGAAACTATTACAGTACATATACAACACGTTTTGCTAGCTTTGCTGAGTTCATGGGCAACAAGATTTGTTTCTCTAAAACAGTGCTCAAAACTAGTCACCCAAAATTGGCATGCAATATGGTAGCCAGGAGTCATCAAAGATGACAGCAGCACTCCGAAGTACATACACTAATAATTGGTTAATTTTAAATTTGACCATCATGCCCTTCAAGCAGCTCACTACTTAGTGCTGTGTGTTCTCT